TCTGTGGGAGATGGCTGCAGGACATTTAATCCTCACAACAGAGTCAGAGGGCCCTGATATCTGTCTCTACCTGCTGGTTCTGATGTGGAAGGGGCTTAGCAGTGCATTTCCTGAGGTGGTGGTGTGGGTCTCTGGGGTGAGACGCCGGGGATGCATTCCGGCTCAGTACAGTGGAGGGTTTCCGAAAGTGTTCCACGGCGAGGAGTTCTTTGTTGCCTGTTCTGAGCGGATGATTATCTTCGTCCTATTTGAACCTCTGCCTTACGTTACCACCTCTCAGAAATCCACTACTAGGAGCTGTGCGAAACTAAATATTGTGGAAGGATGAACACTGCTTTGCCTAAGTTTTACCTGAGTTTCAGAGATTGTTTCAAAGGTTGCATTTTGTTATGTAGGCGATACGTGCGCTTTGTAGAAGAATCAAAGAAAGTATAAAAAAGAAAGAAAAACATCATCCAACCCCGTGTGACTTGAGACAAACATATGTACGTACACCTAGGTGAATCCCTCTTATGCTCTTTAAAGCACACGTACTTTAAAATTGGATGCAGATTGCTTTTCTGGAAACTGTTTTTCTCTCAGCAGCATTCCAAGCGCATCGACCTGTACAATGACATATTTCTCGTGACTAGTCATCAGTGGGTACAACTGCATTCCATTCTACAGCTACCTCAGGATATCGTTAGAAAAGTCCCGTTGCTGGACATTTCCACTTTTTCTTTTTTCTTTCCGATGTTACAAGGGGCGCATGGTCACGGCCTTCTGAGCCGCACATCCGTACGTGCACTCCGTACAGGACGTCTGCAGTCCCCCAGAGGGCAGCGCAGCTAAGGGCTGCGGAGAGCACACTCAGTTACCATGGAGGCATGATTAGAAAGGTTCGATTGTACTTTCAAAATGTTCGTTTTATCCTGTGGTGTGCACAGTACTTGCTCCATGTAAGACCTTACTTCTGTGTGTGCCTTTAGAGTCCCGTCCCTCGCTCCCTGAATGTCACCCGATTTGGAAACGTGTGGTCAACTTGTAGGCAAAGAGCTGGTCGAAAACTGGTAAGCCCTTTCCTTCGACAGAGACCGCGGCCTGAGATCTGAGGCCTCCAGGTCTCTGTATCGCGGTGGGGGGAATTATTGTTCACAAGCGGGAAATCGGGAAGGTGACGGCGTGTGAGCCACATCAGAGGCGGAGACGGCGCTCTGAAGACAGACGCTGCGGGCGCAGTGGGGCTGGAGAAGGCAGGAGGCCGAGGCTCCCGAGAGACGGTCCTTGTCATCGTGACCGCAGCCCGGAGGGTCTTCCCGGGAGGGCGTCGGAGGAGAGGCGGCCTCGGTGGAGGCGCTGTGCCCCCAACCAGCCACTTTCCAGGGACAGATGGAGGTGGTGCTGCGGCCTGGCCCGGCTCCTCCTCCTCTGGGAAAGCCTCCTGTCACCGTCACGCCCTCGGGCCGTGGCCTTGCTTGGAGAGAGGATCTGCACAGAGACCATACGTTGGCCTCAGACTTCTTCCTTCCGCGTGTGAGGCGGGGCATTTCCTCCGGTCAAAGCCTGTCCAGCGGTGGAACTCCGCTGGCCGCCAGATGACCTCTGTCCCACCTCTGTCCTGCACGGCCTGGCTTCCTCTGGTCACACTCGGACCAGACTTACCTTACTCTCATCACTGGGGCTTCCGCGGTGGCCCCTGGGAACACGAAGGCACAGTGCTTTGCAGGCCACACTTTGCAAAGCGTTCGCCTAACCCGGATCTCCTTCCACCCCGACAGAAATGTTTGAGCTGAGGACGCTGCTCATCTCTGGTCCGGAGACGCCGGGGCGATCAGAGAGGCGAAGGCCATGGGCCCGAGGCCGTCTCGAAGTGGTAGCTGGACACCAGATCCTTCTCCTGAGAGCTTGACTCATGGCCCTGTCGCATGTCTGTCACCCCCCGAAGTTGGGAAGGACGCATGTACTGCACCCCTTTATGCAACCCCAGATGGCCTCGGGGTCCACCCACGTGTGGACGATCCTGAAGCCCGAAAGCACCCATTCCACCCACATGTCCACGATCAAATATTTACCAGGAGTCCTCGACTTCGGCCTCTGTGTTTATGTACACAGCATATTTCTTCTCCACTCAGAGGCTCTGTTTACCCCCGAAACAGACTTCCCCAGTGCACTGTTTGGTTACGAACAAATTCAGTGGCAAGACCTCGGACGCGTTGGAGAGCGCGGAGTTTTTCCATCATTAATCCCGTTCAGATATTAAGTCAACACCGTGACACGAGGCGCCGGACATTTTCCTGGAAACTACTTGCCTTGATTCGGTGGGGACAATGTGAGCTTGTTGCACTTTTTCCTCGGGTGACCCAGGCTTGCTCTTGGCCTCCGAGACTGCAGTGCTCTGGGAAGTCTCAGCGTCTCGGTGGCTTTCGCCCAGGGGAGTTATTAGTTTTGAACCTTGGGGATAATTCCGTAAGTATGTAATTCTTTTCCTCCCCGAAGAACAACATGTTGGTTGTGTTTATGTGCTTAAAAAAAAAAAAAAGCAAAGGAACCCTAGTGTTTCCTAAATTGTGGAACCACAGCGATATAAGTATTATCATCAGATTTAGCAAAATCAAGGAAAAAAAAAATAACAGCAACAACAGCAAAACCCCGGATGCCCCAGTTAAAGTTCAGTTCCAACAATGAATTCTTTTCTTTTGTTTTAGTACAAATACTTGTCCAATATTGAAAATATTAAACAAAATTGTATCTGGCAGTTCTGTAAGAAAATCCTGGGAGTGGAGTCTTGGTGATTTTCATAATTTAAAAAAATCTGTGAAAATTATACATTTACCTGAGTAAGACTTCAGAGCGTAATGACGGTGCTGAATTTCTTTGATTTTTATTGGGATTTGTTTTTCTTTTGGGGGCCCTGTTTAAAAACACTGGACTTCTCACACTAGGCCCACAGAAAGTGCACCCCGTTTCTGGTGACCCCTCTCCTGGGTCCCGCAAAGCCCTTACATCATCTCGTGTAATCCTCCAAACCAAGAGCTGGGGCGCCGTGACCCGCAGGCTAAATCCCATCCGACTTACTATCGTTGTTTGTTTGTTTTATGGAACATGGGTCACAATTTTATTTCACACTGGCAAGAGGAAAGACAGCACAAGGGCAGAGCTGGCTCCCAGAAGCATCCCCGGGCCGGGGCTCATTCAGAAATACGGAGTGGATCCCACAGACAATAGAAAGTGGGTCCGTCGGACCTCACGGTCCCCTGAACAGCAGGCCGGGCTGAGGGCTCTGACCCAGTGGGCCGGGGAATGAGGCTTCCGATCTCTAGACAGGCGCTGCTGCTGCTGCTGCGGGGACCACACGTTGGGAACTAGTGCTCTAGACTCGAAGGCAAGCTGCCTGCTTGTCTGTTTTTGCAGTTTGTTTTACTATTTATTTAGGTGGCGAATGAGAAATTACATGCGTGTGGTGCTTTGGAATGTGTATATCTTCAGGAATGACTTAAAACAAGCTAATTCATACAGCGATCACCTCACGTCCTTATTATCTGTGAGCTAAATCCCTGGCCCTGTAAGGAGAATATTTAAAAATCTACTTTCAGCAGTTTTCAAGAGTCCGGTACATGAACTCCTCCTCTTCACCAGACAGTAACCCCACAGAGCTCGCCCCTGCCTCACTGACACCCTGTGTCGTTCCCATACACAGCCCTGGGATTCACCCCTCCACTCTCCTTCTGAGCTCAGTTTCTTTCTTTCTTTCTTTCTTTTTTTTTTTTTTTTGAGACAGGGTCTCAACATGTAGTTGAGACTGACCTGGAACTCACTGTGTAGCCCAGGCTGGTCTCGAACTCACAGCAATCCTCCTGCCTTAGCCTCCCCGGTGCTGGGATTACAGCCGTGTGCCACCACACCCAGCTGAGCTCAGTTTCTTGTATTCCACAGGTCAGTGAGATCATGCAGTATCTGTCTCTCTGCATCTGGCTTATTTCACTAAGCATAACATTCTTCAGTTTCATCCAAGTTAATGCAAATGACAAGCTCTCCCCTTTAGAGGATGCATAGTATTCCACTGTGTGTAAAATGCGTTTTCTTTACTACTCATTGGGTGCCAGTGTTGTGATTGATATCTAACATCCCCCCAAAGCCAAGGAGCTGGGGCCTGTGGGAGGTGTTTATTCCTGGGGGTGTGGGACTCACCGGTGTATTAGCCCACTTCTGTAGTTGTCTCTTTCCTTTGTCAGTGAGTTTATAACTGGCAGAGTGTTGGGAGGTGGGCTCCGGTCAGAGAGGGGTCCCTGGGTCCTGGCCTGGAAGGGCTCCTGTGTTCCCTCCTCCCCACTTCGCTCCCTTCCTGCAACCCTGCCATGGACTGCACTGCTACCAGGCCGCCCTGCCTTGGAGCCAGCTCTGGACCAAAACCTCTGTAAACCGTGAGCCAAACTAAACCCGTCCTCCTTTAAATTGTGGATTAGGGTTAGGGTTTCTGTGCCGAGCAAGTAGCTAAGGCAGATGGACACCTAGGCTGTATAATAATGCTGCAGGGGACTTGAGGGCGTGTCGTTGACCTTGTGGGTTCAATTCTGCCGGATATACACCCACAGTGGGGCTTCCGGATCAGATCGGTCTGTGTTCGATTTGTCATGGACCCCATGCTGGTTTCCACAGTGGCTGTCCCCATTCCCTTCCCTCAGCAGTGTAAAGGGCTCCCTTTCCTGCAGCCTGTCCAACCCTCTCCATTCTCTGGATGACACGGTTCCGGCAGGAGTCAGTTGACAGCGCGTTGTGACTTCGCTTTCCATTTCCCCCACGGTGAGTGACCCTGGACATCTCTTTCCACACCAGTCGATCTTTGGGAAATTGTCCTTTGCCCATTTTCAAATCAAATGATCCATTTTTCACGCTACAGTATTGAGTCCCTTACACATGATGGCTTCTTTTGCTGTGCGGCCCCCACCTGTTTTGGTGAAGAAGATTGTACTGAAGCAGAGCCGCTCCCTGTTTGTTTCTGTGGAGTCTGTGTCGGCTTTGACATGGCGTTGGCAGTGAGTCACTGTGACGAGATCTCCGTAGGGATCGTGACTTCTAAAATGTTTACTTTCTGGCCTCTTCCGGAGGGTTTGTTACATCCACACAGAGCCGTCCTCTGGCAGCTTTGCTGTTATTCCCACTTTCAGAAGGAGTGAAATGGAGTCCGGATGAAGTCGAGCAGCTTTTGAAGGGCTGCAGCAGTGTCTGCTGATTCCAGATCTGCTCACGACACCCTGGTCTGAGGGGCCCGTTGTTCCCTGCGTTCGCCCTCAGAGGGTTTCATGGCGGGGATGCGGATTGGCAGTTTCTGATTACTCCCCACCCACCTCCTCAGAGACAAGACCCCGGTGCTGTGTGTGGTTAAGAACCTGGACTCGGGGCCGCAGGGCTGCGCCCTGGCTTTGGCACTGAATTTCTCAGGCCCACTTCCGCTTTCACCCCCACCTCCCGTTCCTTCCAGATAAGATGAGGGCTGCTTTGTATGATTCGTGAGGTTGGGTCTCAAAAGGAATTCTAAGAGCGGATGTGGCCCACAGGACATTGGCACTTTTATTTCAGATGACTCGTATTTCAAAGCAGGGTCTGACAGTGGGCTCACAGCATCTCCTGCAGGGGCCTCGGTGCCTCCTCCCAGAGCCCACAGCGCACTGACCCCTACTGTCCGATAATATAGTGAAGAAACCGTTCTTCCTCTTCTTCCTCCTGATGCAGGGACTGAATCCAGGTCCTCTCACTGAGAATGTCCCTGGTCCCTTTCTTTGGATCCAACTCGGGTCCTTGTGCTTGGCAGAGGAAGGCGGTGGAACCACTGAGCTAAATCCCCGGCCCCTTTTCATTTTTTATTTTCAGACATGGTCTCCCTAAGTCACTAACTTTCCCAGGCTGGGCTCGAATTTGTGATCCTCCTGCCCCAGCCTCCGGAGTGCTGGGATGACAGGCTTGTGCTAGCTACCACGCCCCGCTCAAGAAATTTCTTTCAAAGGCGATACACTAAATGCACCACAGCAGGGTGCACTACAGCAAGAAACACTTAGAAGCTGGGCTGCGGTTAGACAGACCCGACTTTGAAGGACAGGTCTGTCCCTGGCTAGGTGCGTAAACTCGGGCAAGTTCCCTACGCTGCCGAGAGCCTCCGTGAGGCCGTGGAGAGACTGCGACTCCTGCGCAGTGGACGCTCCTGGCTTGAGTCTTTGGTGCCGCAGCAGCCCCGGGAGGGAGGCCGCCGTGTGCCCTCACCTTTCCGGGGAGGCACCGAAGGCCCACACAGGTTTCCCAGTTCCCCCAAGGTCACGCGGCTGCAATGCCGGCGGAGGGCGCGGGAGCTCAGCCGGCCCTTCCGCGTCCTTCTGCCCAAGTCTCTGGCTGCAGCCTGCGGTGGCTGTCGTTGGTTCATGGGGGGGTACGGGGCGCCCCAGGCAGCTCCTCCCCTGTGCTCCCCAGTTGTCCCCGAGAACGCCCATCGTTTCCTCCGCCGCTTCCTAGCCCGGCGGAGCTGGCGAGCAACTCACACACCCGTCTGCACTCACCAGGCGTTTCCTCCGGACCCGAACCTGCGCGGTGTGCACAGGGATTCAAATCGTCGCCTTTCACGACCATCTGGACTTCGGGGAAGAAGCCGGACGGACTGGGCCAGGGCCCACGTGAGGTGTGAGGACGCAGCTCTCCCCAAGACGGCGCTGACAGATGCCCCGCAGACAGTGGTGAGTTGGGCGGGATCGGTGTGTTCAAAGCGAGGGGAGAGTTCTGCAGGAGATCTGTGGAGTGTGCTTCGCTGCAAACGTAAAACATTTAAATGCACACTGCCATTTGTGGTCAGCCTGGTGTGGAGAGCTCTCCGCTGGTCGTCCGAGTGAAGGAAATCGGCCCCTGGAGAGGTTCAGGAAAAGAGCAGCTGGTGTCTGGCTAGCAAGGACCTTAGCTGTGGGCCCTCTTCGTCTGCGTCTGGGTCCTGCGGCAACAGTGACCGCAGTTTGGCTTCCAACAGCACCGGGTGCGAGAGATTTCTGGTTTGTTTTTTTTGAGACAGGGTTTTGCCCTGTGGCTCAGGCTGGCCTGAACTCATAGGGACCCTGCTGCCTCAGCCTCCTGTGAGGCACTCGCCACCATGCCTGACGACATTTCCTCTCATTATGAGTTAATACCAGTTCTGCCTGAAGAAGCATGAGTGATTAAAAATGTGCCCATCTCCTGTTCTTTGATCTTTGAGTGTGGAGGAAGACAGCTGCCTCTCCCCACCTCCGCAGAACACACCCAAGCTGCACAGCCACACAGTGCTCACGGCACACTGGGGCCTGGACAGCAGAGCGAGTGACTCTAATCACACGCCGACAACAGCACCACCGACTCAGGTCCTCCCCATGCCCCCATCACGCCCAACACCTGAGCTAACACAGTGGCTGGAACGTCCCACTGGGATAGCACCCGACAGCTTTTTTGGTGCCAACTAACTGCACACAGCCCCTGCCCTCCCCAGCACCCCAGCCCTCCTACCCCAGGGCCTTTGCACTCACTATACCTCCCAAGAGCCGTTCAGCTCCTGTCTCACCCTAACGAGGTTCTGTCCAAATGCCAGCTCTTGGGAGAGCTCAAGAACACACCTGTGTGACTGGGTCAGGAGAATGCTGCCCCCGGGGATGGATTAGCGCCCTTAAAAGAGAGACCCCAGAGAGACTCACCCATTCTGGAATGCGAGGTTACAGTGAGAACACAGCTGTGTTGTTTGCTTCTTAGAAGAAGCAGGGAAGGTGTTGGGTACTGAGTCTGCTAGTCCATCCGCTTGGGACCATGGGGCCTCCAGATGTGTGAGAAATCGGTTTCTGTTGGACACGAGCCACCCACTTGATGGTATTTTGTTACAGCAGCTGCAGTGGGCTGATGCACTTCCTCTCCGTGAAGGCCCGTGCCTCGGTGCCGCTGTGCCAAGGACGCCTTGGATGTGCAGGCTGTCCTGGCCCTTGGCCAGTACTCTGCCTGGTGCTCTCCACGTCAGAGTCACACAGATCTCCAAACCCCGGTGTTCCAGAGTGACCGCGACCAGCACCTTCCCTGTGCTTTCGGAATGCAGAAATCACAAGGTCGGCTTTGTCAGCATCAGCGTCCTACCTTTTTGGCGCAGGACGGAGGTTGGCTGTGGCTTCTGCTGTCTTCGGGGCCGGGAAACGTCATCAGACTCGTAGATACTCTGAGATTCTTGCGCCCCACAGGCAGCAGCTTTCTCCCAGGTCGTCCAGTTCCCTTCCCTTTGGACCCCGCCGTCTTTAAATTCTCACGGACGATGTGGGACGACACGGACTCCCCCGCTCACTGGGAACGGAGGCGGCCAGGCTTTGACGCCGTGTGCGCGTCTCGGGGACGTTCCTTTCCCTCCACCTGCTCTGGTATTTTTGAGGTTTTGCTCCTGGGATTTCATCGGCCCACAGCGCTCTTCCCCGGCTCGTCTGGCTGACAAAATCCGTCTTTAAGGCTCTGCCTGTCGCATGCGCTTGCTGCCTGCTCCGCATCTCCACCTGCGCGGCCATCGATTCCGTTTCATTGACTGCAAAGTGCGAGAGTGCAGGGCCTCCAGCTCTCTAACTCAGGGGCTGGGGTCTTTGTTTGTACATTGTTTTTAAAGACATATTTTCCAAATGCAAGACATCATTTTTCTTCAATTCCCCCAAACTCTGCTTAGAGTTTGTTGCTCTTAAAGGTCAAAATTTGTAACACACCTGTCATCCCAACACTTGGGAGGCTGAGGCAGGAGGATCGCTGCAAGTTTGAGACCAGCCTGGGCTACATAGTGAATTCCAGGTCAGTCTCAACTACATAGTGAGACCCTGCCTCAAAAGCCAAAAACACCCAGAAAACCAACCAACCCACCAAACAAAAACAAAGTCAAAATCTGTATGCCAGACCTGGGTTCTTTTCTAAGCTAATATAGTGACCCTGCCTCAAAAGCCAAAAACACCCAGAAAACCAACCAACCCACCAAACAAAAACAAAGTCAAAATCTGTATGCCAGACCTGGGTTCTTTTCTAAGCTGTTGTACTTCAAAGTAAAAGCAAAAAGAAATAAATTATAGAAAATAGAATCAAGATACAGAATCAATATGAGCTGATTCCTGATGATGGACGTATTTGTTATGCACCAGAAACATATACTAACACCAAAGAGGAAAATAAAATCAAACAGAAAGAAAGAAAATTTAAAATGCCCACTGGAAGTGGTGCAGGGGCCTGACCTGTCTGGGGCCATCTTTCTTTTGGGGGGCAGCAATCATCGCATGGCAGCAGGTGGAGAGGAGCACAGCTCGCTCCAATGCCTCACTTGTCTCCATCCTGCTGGGGCCACAGGACCCCTGGGCCACTGTGGAGGCGACTTTGAACCCAAGGACAGAAACAACAAAGACTGAGGCTGATGGGTAATTTTTGGTGGACCCGGATGTCTCAGAATTTGCCCCTGCAGGCACAGTCACCCTGGCTGTCCTTATAACAAAAGCAGCACGGGCTGGGGACGTAGCTCAGTGGCACCGCAACTGCCTGGCAAGCACAAGGTCCTGAGTTCGACCCCTAGTACTGCAAAAATCAAACCAAACAAAACTAGCAGCTTTATTGAGTTGGCACTTATGCTATCAAAAAATCACTCTGTAAACTTTAGTGGATTTTAATATGTTCAAACGCGACAATGATATAATCTCATCAGCCCCACACGAAAGCCCGCTCTTGATGTCGGTCTACATGGGATCATACAACGTGTGGCTTTCTAACTGGTTTGTTTCACTTTGTGTGGCATTTTCAGGAATCACCCTTTGTGTCGCCGAGCCCTTTTCCACAGTGTGGACACAGCTCACTTCGTTTGTCTGTTCGTCAGCGAGAGTTGCAGTGCTCGTGTGAACGTTCACGCTTGTGTGGACGTCTTCCTTGTGCAGACCCGCTGGACAGCCAGCCAGCCCTGTGTTCACTGCTCCGAGGCGCTGTCCAAGTGTCTTCCAAGGTGGCCGCTCCATCTCACCCACCCTCACAGTGGTGTAGGAGGGCGCCAGGGTCCCCACACTCTCCCTCTTGCTCCCTGTTTTCCAAGTTAACCATCACAGTGGGTGCACGGGGTAACTGGTGCATTGGGTTTGCACTTCTGCAGTGCCTGGCAGTGTCTAACACCTTTCACCCGTTTGTTTAGCTTTGGAGAAGGATGCATTCTAGTTCTCTGATCATTTAAAGATTTTTGGTTTAAGTGTCTTTTTCTGGGCAAGTTTTAAGAGTGCTTCACATATTCTGAACACTAGCTTCTTATTCTACACGTGATTTCACAAATTTTTTTTTGCATTTTTCACTTTCTCGTCACCTTGACAACAATGTCCTGCAGTCAAGGAGCAGGATGCTCTCTTTCCATTGATTTAGGTAAAATATACTCTGCCCACCCCGGGGACTGAACTCAGGACCTTGCGCTTGTGAGGCAAGCATGATGCCACTGAGCTAACTCTCTTGTTTGCAGCATGTAAATGCAGCTCTTCTTTTGTTAGATTGATTCCTAAGCATTTTAAACTTTTTGATATTATTCCAAATACATTTTTTTCTTTTCTTTCTTCTTTTTTTTTTTTTTTTTTTTTGGCTTTGGGGTTTTAACTCGTCATTGGCATTGGGGATTGAACTCGTGCCCTTGTGCTTGCCAGGCAGGCAGCAGAACCACTGAGCTATATCACCAGCCCCTTGCATTTTTTTTCTTAGTTTCACTTTGGCTCGTCTGCCCTTAATGTGCTGAATGACACTTGTCTTTATATATTGCGACGAACCTTCTGGGACTCACGGATGAGGCCCAGTAGATTTCTGGTGAGTTGATTCGGATTTTCTGTGTACAAGATCCTATCATCTATCAGCACAGATAGTTTTATTTCTTCCTTTCTGATTTGGGTGCCACTTATGGATTTATCCCCCTGGTGGCTTCAGCTGAAAGTGCGGCGTGGGGCCGAAGGGGCAAGCGCAGCCAGCCTCCTCACTCCCATGCCTGGGCGGAAATCGGAAATCGTTCAACCGGCCGGCCGTGGGGCCTGAGGTGCCAGCGAGCCTGCTGTGGGGTTCTCACCGCAGAGGAAGCGCCCCCTGGCTCTGAACTCCTGCGCCCCGGCTGAAGTGCAGCTGTGCTGGGGCGCGGCGCCCTTCAGGCCTAGTCCCGGTGCCTGGGCGTTTCCCCGGAGACTGGAGAGAAAAGGGTTTGTAACATGACTAACTTTGGTATCATCTCTGTAAGTATAATTTAATCGCCACGAGTAAAGGGACTTCCCAAAAGTCCGCGTGATGGCAGCGGGCGTGGACCTTACTCTGTGCGACCTGGGTAACTCCACAGGCTTCTGCCCCTGGCCAAGCATTTAAAATAATATTTGTGTGTTTTCTGTGTGTTAAGCCCGGAGCTACTTGCTTAATGTACGTTGTATAATTTTCTCTTCAATCCTGTGTGATAAGATCTATTTTTTTTTTTTAAAAAAACATATTTTAGAGAAGTTAAACCTCATGCGTGAAAGTAGGAGGCAATAAAAAGCCTGTCGGATTCTGGATGCAAACTTTTTAAAAAAAATTTTTGTTTTTTGTGAGACAGGATCTTCCTCTGTAGTTTAGGCTGGCCTTGAACAGTGATCCTCCTGCCTTGGCCTCCCTAGATGCTGAGATTACAGGCCTTTTTCGCTGAGGTAGGAGGGGCTCAAAATAACAGCAGAAGAAAGCCAGGGACTCTGGAGTAAGGCGTGGGGGTGGCTTGCGTAGATTGTCAGGGATCTTGGGATTCTGCGGAGACTGGGGAAGGTGCAGTGGGCGAAGCTTGGGCCTGGCGCTGGGAAGGGGAGGAGCTGGGCGTGGGCACCCTGGCGGGAGCATTTGGCCTTCCCTGGGGCAGTGATTTTGCTGATTTTGACGACAGCACCGTGCTCTCCTGGTTTGTGGTGGGGAGAAGCTCAGGTGAGACCCTGGCCCCACCCCACTTCCGGTCAATTCTAGATGTTGGCCTTCCTTTTAAGTTTTTATTTGAAAACAGAGTCAGAGTGCTTGACAGGATTAAAGTAAGCCAACTTGCTCTAGTCGACCTGCTTTACAGGGAAGAAACATGGCGCTGATGTGAACCTGCTCGTTAGCGACAGTAGAACTGCAGTTCAGGTTTCTTGGTGCTAAGTATTCATTCAACATACATTTATCACCTGCCTGTTCCATCGCAGGGCAGCTGAAGGCTCAGGGCCTGTGACCGCCACTCACACGTTCATAGGCATGTTTGTTTTTATTTTTTGGTACTGGGGATCGAACTTGGGTCCTTACATTTGCGAGGCAGGCAGTGGAACCCCTGAGCTAAATCCCTGGCCCCAACAGACGTGTTGGGTTCGCAGGGAGAGTCGGGGACAAGGGCATTCCAGGACAGGGCACTGAGAGCAAAGAGCTGATACTTTTCTCCTTAGGGCAAGCGCCCTCAGTTACCCTGCGCCTGGCACTGGGGGCGTTGATTTCCACGGATTATCCCATGCAATCCGCTCAGGAATCCCCGAATGGCACAGAGGCGGGGACTGACCCTCAGGTGGAGAGCCAGGCCATGTGGCAGGAGGGGGTCACTGAACAGAGGCAGCGCTGGGATTTGAGTCCTGAGAGCTTAGTTCTGGATTTCCGGTGCCAGGTGCTGTGCAAAGCAGTCTGAACTTCTCCCCTAGGTCCTGGAGCCTCCAGTCTGCATCAGAACCCTGGGGCCTTGCTAGAGCACAGACTGTGGGTCACACCCCAGCGTTTCTGGCCCAGGAGGTCTGAGCCAGGCTCCGAGGGTATGTCTGTCTGTCTATTTATCTCTCATCTCTCATCTATGTCTCATCATCCACCCCTCAGTCAATCTATCCATCCACTATCTATAGTGGGCTCCTGATTTATGAACTCAATCTGTTCCCGAGGGCTGGTTGTAACTCAAGTTGGTCAGTGCAGGCTCAGGCTCCTCTCCGCAGCCTTCCAAGTCTCTCCTGTACACAGGTGGATCTCAGTGTCCTTAGAAGCTGGCCCAGGATTTCTCATTCAATCCCACACAGGACAGGATGTGTAATGTTTCTTCCAGGACTCTTTAAGGGTTAGATCTATACCTGAGACTGTGTGGAAACACAAGCTGCTGACATTCAGGTCATAACTCAAGACTTTGGTTGTAAGTTAAAACTAAAATTCTGGTCATAACCCACACTGTTCCTATGTCAGGCTGGTCGTAACTCGAGGGTCCACTGTATCTGTGTATCCATTATCTATCCGTCCATCCATCATCTATCTTTATCCTCTATCTATCTATCTATCTATCTATCTATCTATCTATCTATCTGTGTAGTAGTATTGGGGTTTGAACCCAGGGCCTTGTGCCTGCTAGCAAGTGCTGTACCACTGAGATTCATCCCGGACCCTTAAGAATTTTTATTTTGTGACAGAGTTTTGCTGAGTTGCCCAAGCTGGCCTCAAACTCGTGGTCTTCATGCCTCAGCCTCCGGAGCAGCTGGGATTACAGGCGTGCGTCACCACTCATCTAGGCACACAGACGTCTTCTAAGACAGGCGGTTCTAACCTCGTTGCTCCGGGGACCATGCTTTGACAACGGTTCTGCCAGGGAGCCACTGAAGGACTTCTAAATGTGAGAGGAAAGGCATCAGACCCGCGTTTTAGTCAGGACTCCCTGGTGTTGAACAGGGTGGAACGCGATGAGGGACAGAGTGCAGGCGGAGGGAGCAGTTCTGAGAGGACTTCCGCGGGCGGCTAGAGGAAGAGGGATGCAGAGATGGAAGGAAAGTGACCACCCGGGCAGGTGGTCGGGGGACTGGCCGGTTCAGCAAGTCCCTTAGACACGGCAATGGCCTGTTCAGTCAGATGGGAAGCCAGGGAGGAGAGGACTGCGGGAGACGAAGGCTGTTTCAGGAGAAGTCGGAGGGTGAGCTGGTTGTGAGGGGCCCTCCTGTGGCGCAGCAGGGGCCTGCGCCCTCAGGAGCCTGGCTTTCACCCGGAAGCTCCAGCCTTGGAACCCTCCTTTCCTCTGCCCAGCCTGGGGGTGTCAGCCCAGGGGAGAGACATCTGGTGGAGCCCCGACCCGGTTCCCCACGGCCATCGGAGTCCAAGGAGACCAGGCTCCCGGACCGGCCGGCTCCGCTCCATCTGCTTCAGTGTTTAGCCTGCAGGTTTCAGAGCGGCCGAAGAGCAGTTAAAATGAGTTTTTAATGTTCTGTTATCAGCAAGAGTCAGGGAGAAAGCGGCATTATTTCCTGGGGCGGGGGATGCTTTTCAAAATCTGTTGTGAAGAAACGTCCCTTTCTGTGGAAAGTCCTGTGTAACATACTCTAACTAACTACCCTAATGGCTTCAAAACCACTGACACACGGTCTAGAACTGCTAGCCATGTCCCTCATTTCCACTGCGCCACTCTCGGGTGTTAGCAAGTAGATGCAGATCTCTCTGTTTTTCTTATGATCCAAGTGCAACACAGAAACTCAGTCCACTGAGCATGTACTGAGTATTTCCTGTGATTGCTCAGTTATTATTTTTGGACCAGGGACTGAACTCAGGACCTTGCGCTTGTGAGGCAGGCGGTGGAACCACCGAGCTAAATCCCTGGTCGCTCAGTCGTTATTAACGCAGGCGTCACACAGATGCCCTCCTGCCCTGCACCCCTGTGCCCAGGTAACAAGCCTCCTTCGTGACTCTCCAACTTTCTCTACATCAGCACTACCAAGCTGCTGCTCTTCGTCCCGGATCAGCTACCGTCCGGGCCTTCCAAAACTGATCTCGATCCCCGCCAGCTCACGCTCACAATGTGAAGAGACCAACGCTTCGAAGTCGGACCAAACCTTCCCCTTCCTAAGCCTGGCAGGAAGAGGCTGTGCTCCAAGGGGACCACAGGGACCACGCGGCCGGCTCCTAACTTCTGCTGTCCTGCACCAGTCAGACTGCTGTCTTTCTGTGTCTGAGAAGTGCTGTGCCCCACCCTACCCTGCGCTCAGGACCACTGGCACCCAGGGCAGTGCTCGCACCGGGGAGGAGCCTGTGAGCGCCTGTTTGAGCCCTGAACAAGCCAATCTGCACAGAAGGCAGAGATGGTCCCGGTGTGGGATTCACGCTGAGATTCCACAGGAAGAGTTTACAAGTGAATATCACTGAAGTATGCAGTAACTTCTGGAACAAGTCCTGCTGCCTTTGAATAGCGGCGTCCCACCCTCCAGCGAACAGCTCCAAACCGCAGGCCACCCCTAAAGCCTGTTTCTGTGGTCGGGTCTGTGTGCGCCTCTGCAGCCCCGGCTTGTGCCCCGTGCTCCTCCAGGAGCGTCAGACACCTTCTGCTGGGTTGGGATCGGCAAATCCCATTTGTGAGGACCGTTGTCCAGTTTTGATGTGGAGAATTTTCCAGTCATCCTCAGCCACGATGGAATTCTGAAACGAGGGTCGTGGCGTTTTGATGGAGCAGGAAGAGCACACACGGGACCTCGTCCTCTGCCCTCGGCGGTGCGTGTGCTGCAGTTGCCGCCGCACGGTCGCCCGAAGGTGGTGTGCTCAGCTGACGTCCCGCACCCCTGTCGGCTGAGCTGGTCTGGGATGAAGTCAGGCCCAGTCACGTGGTGTCCGTTCTGCACAGTGAGGAGCAGGGTGTAGCTAAGGCTTTGATCGTTCCAGGAGTTTCCTAATCCCTGCAGGGAGAGAGAGGGCACCCCTCCGTCAGACATCTTCCAAGCTGCGCTGTGAGCCTGGAGTCCTCTGATCTCACTCAGCCTGGGAACAAGGATTCGTGGAATCATCTCGTGAACAGACAGCCTGTGCATTTGTAGAAATACAACTACTGTGTTGTGATGAAGCGGTACACACAACTGCTGCTTTGTACCCGCCACAAAGGAAATCAAATCCTACTCTGCTGCTTAGAGTTTGGAGATGACTCCGCTGGGACAGCAGCCACGGTTGCTATGAAGAGATCTCAGCCCAAAGCCCCGATACCAGTGCGAACTGTTGATGGTGCAGCACCACAGCGGCTACGTTCAGAATCAGACCACGCACGTGCAGGACATGTCTGCGTTGGTTCAGAAAAACTCACTCGAGTGCTCCGTCTCGCTGCCTGTTTGACTGGCATGGGCGTACTCTGTCCTGCCCGGCTTTCCTGGCCCCTGCGCCCCTTTCTCTCCTCAGCCCCAAGACTGCAGTGGGCAGGGCGTAAATCAGACCCCAGGGAGATTCCAGTGCTTGGTAAAGCTCGCCAGCTCCAGAGGGACTTTCAGGACTGCGAGTGTTCAAATTGTGTAGTGTTCTGGGTTTTCCTCTGCCGGGGCGGTGCCCTCTGGAGTATGGCTGGGTGGAAAAGCTGTGTTGCGAGCTGAGTTTTCCGTCTCTCTTGCCCTTTCTTGTTTCCTGAGCCAGCTGTGTCTGACCTGCAAACACCACAGCAGGTGGATGGTCTTAACTGGTTTTCTTAGAAAAGATTTTGCATTAAGGCCGGGGATTTAGCTCAGTGGTTCTGCCACCTACCTCGCAAGTACAAGGACCTGAGTTGGATCCGCAGTATCCCGCCCTCCGCAAAAAAGATTTTTTGCATTAGATTCCAGTCAGGGTAGTTGAATTTCCCAGCCTACCACGTGCTTTCCTGGGCCTTTTGGGTTTCTTAGGTTTAGATAGCGAGGAGTTGTTTTGTTTTACTTATTATTTTAGCTTGTTGGTCCATGTGTGCAGAACATAATGACCACATGCCGTGTGGGAAGTGAGGGTGTGTGTGTAACACACCTGCCTTCCCCTTCCACCCCTTCCCCACCCGCCCACGCCCGAGCCCAGGGCTGCAAGGGGTAATTTAGTTTTGCAGTTGATTGGATGCTTGAGGTAGGGATTTTAGTTTTCCTTGCGACAGTCATTTATAATGATAATCTTGTAGTAGAATCCTGTCTGGCTGTGTCTAGATGCTGCCTGTGTGTAGTGAGTGTGTGTATTGTAGTGTGTGTGTGTGTGTGTGTGTGTGCCTGTGAGTGTAAGTTCCGGATACAGCGTGACCTGGGAGAGAGGGCTTCACGGATGTAGAGGTCTAACTTGGTCCTTTCGCATAACTGTAACAAGCTCAGCCCTGAGCTGAGTACGCGTCCGCTGGGCTACTATGCTGCTCTGCATGTCAATAAAATAAAAAGCCAGGTGATGTTCAGCTTCTGAGCTCTACCTTTCCTACACTTCCATCTTCAAGCTGGGTTTCTGCAGCCCACCGTGAGGCAAAGGCTAAAGGCCTCGATTCTGTCACCCTGGGAAAGCGGGGTAGGTGTTTGCAGGGTGCCTTCATGTTTCCCTTTCTGATTTCCAGCTTACCCCAAGATAGCAGGCTTGCATCCTGAAGCTGAACATAAACAGTAGAAACATCTCACGTGGGGTTAACTGCTTTCCTAGGCCGTGCTCCGCACACAGCCCAAATCAGTCCAGGATGGCATACGGACTACACCAAGAGACTTGTGCAGAACTCAAGCCAGGCTGCAAAACCAACAGGAGTCTAGGCAGGCGACTTCAAGATTGGCAGCAGACTTTTTTTGTTTGTTTTCACTTGGCTCCTACTAAATTCTAGAGTGTAACAAAACCAGGCTTTCGCTGACACCCATCATAAACAGCTTCCTGCATTGTGCTATTGTGCTTTATCTGAGCAAAGCCACGGCCCCATTACAGCCTTGCCGCGTGATAAATCTGTGTCTGTTTGTGTACACACATGCACTGTGTGAGAGACACAGTCACCGGCCTGGCGGGGAAGCCCAACCCAGCCCTCCCTCCTCTGAATCCTAGACACACAGCGTTTAAAGCCCTTGGAATCAGAGGCCTCAATTTCTCCTCTAAAAGTGCTGCGGTTGACAAATTGCTTAGTAAAGAAACCTAAACACTGTAGCTTGAGAGGACACAGGGGCTGGATGATAATTCAGCTGGGAAATAACTAGGGAAACATTTCTTTAAATCTAAATTCCTGCAGCCATGGAAACCTCTATCCTCAGTCACTTGCTGATAAAGTTTCCTTTTCCTTTATCTCTTATCCCCCAAAGCCCCCAGAACAAGGGGAGTTTGGCCAGGGATGGGTAGAGAGAGAATGAGGTTATTTTGTCTTGACTCTCAGCCGCTCAGCTGGCATCCCCAGGATTTGATAAAAGTTACTTCTCTCAAAGAGAGCAACAACGTGTAGACAAGAATACTGTCTCTTGTGTGAGTTGCAATTTTGGGAGATTTCATCGTGAGAAACATCTGAGCAATCAGAATGTGGTCCCAGGGATAGGGTCGTTTCATGGCCAGAAGAATAAACAAATGGAAAGGCAGGGAAAGTTCCTGGCTTTGTAAATTATGGAACTCTCCTTGTTTCAACAAGTAAAACGGTGAGTCTGAGGACATTGAAAAAGTGTGTTGCAGACCTTCGGAGCTGATGGCTGCTAGAAAGCACTGGGAAGCCCTGTTTCATTTTTCTCAGCTGAAGTACATTTGGTTTCTTTCCTGACAAACTGTGGTTCTGTGCGGGAAGCAGAAGGAACAGCACTGTTATTGGACGCTGCGGCAGGACCTCCCGTTGCCAGCGGAGCCCACATGAAAGCGGCCGAGGGGAGGGACGGCCAGGGGGCGGGCCGGAGGGGGAGGCCTTAAGCCTCGGGTGCTCAGGGCTGCAATTTGTGAGCGCACAGTGATGAAATCGAGCTCTGGGCAAATCAGAGGAGCCTGTCAACCTCCCAGGTGGGACTGCCCCGGGTTAACAGACTGAACTCGGAACCCCGAGCAGAGCAGCCCGCAGGCAGAGGGCAGCGGCAGGCAGCGGGCTTTCCAAGAACCCAGGCATGGCTGGAGGAGGCCCCACGCGGCCGTGCCAGGTAGGGGGGGATGGGAGGGCAGGGAGTGAGCTCGCAGCCTCTGCCTGTGGAATCCGAGCTTCTCTCCGGGTCCCCAGGCGGGCGTTCTGGAGGTGGTGGCACTGGGGGTGCTGAGGCCATGAGATCCTTTTCGGTTCTGTCTGGCTGTGTTTGACACCTTGGTCTCCGTCCCACAGGTCTTGTCTCTGTTCACCTTTGCCGTCCTCTGCTTCGGGGCCTCAGTGAGTCGCACAAAGAGGGCGGAAGAGTGGGACGAAAGCCCCCTGTCAGGTAAACGGAGCGGCTGTTGGCATCCTCAGCTATTTTAAAATACCACACGATCGCTGCAAACTCCTTCTTGAGAAATCTATCTTTAAGATGACTTTGCAGGATAACTAGTTTAGTCCTAGAGTTGTCTGGGATGAAATCAACTACATGCACCATGCAGACGAGAGAAGGTGGTTTTAAAATTCGAGGACAGTTTTGATTCCTTCATGATAAACTGTGCCTTGAAATCTTTGTCCTCTGAAATTTTAGGGGTGGAGATGGCCTTAAAACTCTGTCCCTAACCAAGGTGAGGACAGAGTTGGGGAGAACAGGTGTTGGTTCCGTATCATAGAGACACGAATCTGCTCTGTTGTCCTGTGAAGAGAATGCACTGCTTGTCCCCAGAAAGCTCCGACGCAGGAAAGGCAGGAATGGAAGTGACCAGGGCAGTGAGCTGTTCGCATGGGACCCCGGAAATTCAGGACGTTACGATTACCCAAAGTAGAAAAGGGTGAGAGAGAAGGTGCTTCGGCGAGCCGGGAGGGCTGGTCTGCCCTGATCGCGTTCTTTCGGGGTAAGGAGCTGCGTACCCTGACGTACCCAGGAGAACCGAAGGGGACTCAGTGTGTGCGGGGCAGGCAGGGAGTCTTGTGAAGGTGCTCACCGTGTGCGGTGGGGCTTTGCTGGCCAGGGCTGGAGCAGCGAGTTGCTTAATTTCCTGGAGATCAGAGCTGCTGATGCTGATAGAAATAAATTTTTTTTATTTGAAGTAATGGGTACTCTGGGGGCAATGTTTTCTTGACTGTCCCTGCTGTCCCGGGTGTCTGCCTTCCTGTGCGTTTTGCATTCCTGTGAATTCCTGACCTGAGTTCTGCGAAGGACGCTCACCTGTCTTTCCTTAGCCAGCATGGACTTTTGTTAACATCCCGGTTAGCCCCCATGCTCGATGGAAGGGGAAATTTTCCTCACACCAAGTGAGTCACTTTGGAGTCGTGCCCAGGAGGTTGAAAGAAAAACATCAGTGGCGGGTGAGTGAGGTGAGTGGGCTGTGACGTGGACGGGGTGGGCTGCCCTGGGGGCATCGCTGCCTGCAGGAGAAGGCTGTTTTTATTGGTAGCGAATGCTCTCTTCAAAGGCCTCGTTCTCACTCCTGCTGATGCCACTGTGGCTGGCAGGCAGGGGACCAGGCAGCTGCTCCACAGCCAAGTGCCGATTCTTTCCCATGCGTCCCGCGAGGAACTTTCCCTGACTGTTTCATCTGAACGGATTACCGTGGCTGAAAGCCATAGTGAAGGAATTAAATGCTATTTTCTTTCTTTCGTTTTTTCTTTTTGTGATACTGGAGATTCGCACTAAGCTGCACTCCCAACCCCTTTTCAGTTTGAGACAGGGTCTTCGGTAAGCTGCCCCGGCTGGCCTTGAACTTTCCATCTTCCTGCCTTGGCCTCCCAAGTAGCTGGGACTACAGGTGTGTGCCCCTGTGCCCAGTTTAAATGCTGTTTTCTTGATGTGTGCATGAGGTCAAGGGGCCCATTATTTTCAAAATTCGTTCTTTATCAGAATGAGTCAGGAAATGCTTAGCCTGATGCCCTGGTCTGTGGTCTTGGGAAAATCTTTTGTCCCTCTCTGAGGCGCGTGATGGATCATTTCTCATTTTCCTTCTGGATAAGAAATAGAGTTCCCAGTGCTTTCCATTCTGCTCCACTGCCCTTTTTAGTTTGTGTGATCTCTATGGAGAAACTGGAGAAGTAGAGATTGAACTGACTAATCCTTAGGAATATGTATATAATAAATGAATTCCACATGTTCCGAGAGGTGGCTGGAGAGACTGGTGAACAAATGTTACATCTGGAGCCGCGGCAGAGTCTACTTTATAATCTGCAAATTAGACAGTCTTTAATACCCTAGAAAGCATTTGCTTCTTGAATTGTTTAGTGTTTATTTTATGCCTTTAGGATGTCATCTACAATAGTCTGTTAAACATCCACCTTCAAGAAGCTTGGTCTTGGGGTGTGGTATAATTCAAGTCTGATGAGCAGGGCTGCGGTCACATCTGTGCATTTTTTATTTGAAATTTATTTCTTTTGGTGTCACTCAACCTGCTGTTGCTTAGGCACTGTAGTTGATTTCTCCTGGGAAAAGACCACATATGTCCTTTGGAAACCCAGAGACAGCATAGCGAACAGAGTTTCTATGACTTTCTGGGTGCTGCACACTACGTGTGATTGTCATTCTGTTGGCAAATCCTCCCCATCCTAAAGCACTGCGTGCACTTTTATCTGTGCATGACAATAAAGGCCCTGAGAGGAAGAGGAAAAGCCCCATGCTTACTTTCTTTCTTTCTTTTTTTTTGTACCAGGGATCGAACTTGGATCCCTGCGCTTGCAAGGCAGGCAGTAGGACCACTGAACTAAATCCCTGGCCCTCCCATGCTTACTTTCAATAACTCTTTTGGGTTTTAAAGGAATCTTGTGCCACTCAGTGCTTTGAAACTCTTTTCAGTGAAAAGCAGATAAGGATATTTCAAGGGCCAGCTGCAGACGGGCCGGAGCATGGTGCACCCTCCCAAAGCATGCAGCCTCCTGTCCCGGAGCTGTAACTCAGGGGTTCCCACAGAGGTGGGTGCGTCTGTGTGCAGGCCGAGTCTGCCCACTGTACTCTGGACCACACGTGGGCGTCAAGGCTGCGGCAGTGCAAACAAACTCATAATTAATTAACTAGCACACTTGTAGCTGCGCTCATTGTTAGGACCTGGTGATCCATTGGTGGTAGTGATGGAGTAGGATTTCTTCTACCAGATCATTAGAAACAATCCTATGGATTTCTTAGGAGGAATGCCACAAGCAGGAGAAATTCTTTGGGGTAAAAAGAGTGGACATTCAGGTAAATGAGACGAAAGCAATCGATTCTCAAAGAAAACCTAAATAGCAACCGAAGTGGGGTTTGATGGCTTTGTTTCAAGTATCTGTGGGCCTAGGTTTGCCTTGCCAGTCTGTGTGGGAATGGGTTCACGCGGTGGGCACAGTACCTGTGTCTGTACCCGTATGTGTGCGTGTGTGTGGAGCTCCGGGGTAGCTTCTGCGTTAGACATTCCTGCAGCCCTCAGGTGGAAATGGAGCACCTCCTTTGAAAGGTAAGCAGTGTAGGCCAGGGGTTTAGCTCAGTGGTTCCACCTCCTGCCTCATAAGCACAAGGTCCCGAGTTCAATCCCCGGTACCAGGGGGGGAAAAAAAAGTTTAAAGAAACGTAAGCAGTGTAATATTCAAAAGACAAAGGGAGGCCGGGGATTTAGCTCAGTGGTTCTGTCACCTGCCTTGTAAGTGCAAGGACCTGAGTTCAATCCCTGCTACAAAAAAAAAAAAAAAAAAAAAAGAAAG